AGCCGATGGCACCTTCCATTTTTGGGACAAGGACGCGAAGCACCGTCTAAAGGGTTACCCCGAAGTCGGCCATCCCATCATCTCCACCGACTTTGATCGCAACGGCAACATTTTTGCCTACGCCATTGGTTACGACTGGAGCAAAGGATACCAAGGAAACACCGCCAACATCCCGAACAAGATCATGCTGCATCCTCTGATGGGTGACGAGTGCAAGCCGCGTCCAAAGACGACAAAGAGGTGAGGTGGAATGAATTCTCTGGATTAGACAGTGCTGGCGATGGGCGTTTTTACGGGTCCTGGCCAGTCCAAGGCTGGGTTTCATGAACATTCTGTAGTAATCCACAAACGAAGCAACCGAACCTGGCTCCATGTGACAAACAGATTCCTGATGTTGCCTGGATGGACCCCGCATGATGTAACAAAGCCCCTGAAACCGGGTCAATGACGTCAGCGACATGTCAACTGCATCCGACCACCACTGTCAACAAACCGCGCCATGCCTGAACAGCCGCTCTCGCCTCCGCCGGCTCCTGAATCCATGGCAACTAGGGAAGAGCTGGACTTTGACGATAATGATGATTCGCAGCATGAACAGCAGGAGCAGCAACAAAAGCAGCAGCAGACGGCGACAGACATGCAGAAGACAACGACAGACAAGCCGAAGCCCTTGACACCCAGGCAACAGGCAGAACAGACACTGATTGAGGCTTTTCCATCCATCGAAGTCAAAGTTGTGCGGGCGGTGCTGCAGGCGAGCGGCGGACAGGTGGAGCCAGCGTTCAATGCGCTGCTTGGTATGAGCGATCCGGACTTCCAGGAAGAGCAGACGGCGCTACCCTCCCGCAACCCGCCTCAGCAGTCGAGGAGTCAGGTAGAGGCAGATGAGCGGATTGCGCGTCAGCTGGCAGAGCAGTACAACAGCCTTCCGCGCGGTGGACACACGTATAACCAGCGTGAGCCCGCTCGTCGTCGACCCAATCAGCAGCATTCTTCAGACAGCGATGAACACGAGCGCAACTTCTTTGACGACGACTTGCCAGAGATTGGGCGGACACTGCGACAGGGATTCGGCGAAGCACAGAAAAAAGTCAACAGCTGGATTACAACGATTAGCAAGAAGCTGGACGGCGAGTCGGAAGATGATGAAGAGGATTTGTATAGCTCACCCAAGCGATCAGCCGGTCCCAGTTCTCAACGCCAAAACTTTGGACCCAGCCAACGACAGCAACTGCATGGCGTCCAGAAGTCTGCTTCTGGGAGGCGAAGCACAGAGGCCCAACGCTACGATGCAGATCCGCATGAGTTGGATCCAACCACGTTTGACCGGCTGGAGTTGCATGACGACGAGGCCCCATCACCGCCGCCCAAGCCCCCACGTACCAGCAGCCGCACTGCTGCAACAGAAGAAGGCTCATCGGCTGTGCGGCCTCCGCAAAAGGGACCCGTTGACGAAGTCGAAGCGGCAGATCCCAACGACAAGTCGCGCAAGTGGCAGCCGCTGACAGCAGTGGCACCCCATCCAGAAGACGACAATGACCCATTCAGTCTGGGCGATGATGAGGACGATGTAAAGGACAAAACTGAGGATATACGCAAAGAAGACTCGGAACGGTTGAAGCAGCAGGCTCGCAAGAGCAGTTCCGCTGGCGTTAGCGGAGGGAAGATTCTGCAGGAGCGAGAGAAAGACGGTGCCAAGGACAAAGAGGCCGAAGAGCTGTTGAGTAAGTAGATGTTTGTAATCACGTGCGCCTTTAGCTACCACACCCGAAACTGGTTTTGATTCGTTTGTGCGTCAAAACTCTGATAGTGCTCCTTCCTTCTTCAGCTACAACCCACCAAGATGGTGTGTAGTTTAATTCCTTCTTCCATGCAAACTAACAGTCAAAGTCGAAGCAATACCTCCAAACGTACTCGATATCAGAGTGTCATGCCCAGTCTGGTTCCATCTTTTCTCTCACCATTTGCACTCTTTCAAAGATACGCTCTCACCTGATTTCTGCTTCTGGAGCACCAGATTTGCAGGTCCACTCGCTTAGCGGCGGCAGTCCACATGCAGACAGTGCTGAAGAGGAAAACCCATTCCCGCACGATCAAACACTGCAAAGTGCTCACAAGCTAGGGTGTCACCACGTCTGCAGCAGCTCAGACGGCAGAACTTTTGCCAGCGTAGGATTCGATGGGATCATCAAAGTGTGGGAGAGCAACGAAGAAGCCAAAGAGAACACGTGGACGCTGCGTAGCACAATTGACACCAAGGGCCGGGCATGGGCTATTGCGCTCGACGCCAAGGGAGAAGTTATCAAGACCACAACGGCTATTGGCCGTGTAATCGCCTATGATACAACAACGAAGGCGGTGAATCACGAGTTTGAGGCCAAAGAGTCGTTTGCGCTCTGCATCGACGTCTCCCAGGATGGGAGCATGACGGCCACAGGCTACCACAACGGCAGCATTTTTCTATTTTCCAACACAACCAATTCTATGGCTCATGTTCTGACAGGCCTGGTCAGTCCCGTCCGCTGTGTACGTTTCTCCCCAGCCGGCAAATATCTCGCTGCCGCTGGCGATGCGCGAGTTATTGCCCTCTACGATACTGAGGCCGGGGAGCATGTGGCCAACTTCACCGGTCATGGCGGCTGGGTCATGAGTCTCGACTGGAACCATCCCGGCGAATACCTACTCTCGGGCTCATATGATGGTCAGGCCAAGGTTTGGTCTCTGGAACGGAGGCAGTGTGTTGCTACCATGACCGAAGAAGGCGGTTCCCCCCTCTGGGCGGTTAGATGGCTGCCTCTCGAGTTAGCCACGCGAAACGAAGCCTTTGTCACGGCTGGAAAGAGGGGTGTGTTGACCTTTTACCGAGAGGCCAGTGGAGCATAGAAATACACTGTATGTTACACGACACCCCCATTAACTTCCTCTCCAGTACTTCTCTCCCTTTACCCTCTCGTCCTCTCTTTCGCGCTCCTCCCAGTCAATGGGCTTTTGTCCCCTTTGCTTCAATTCGCGATTGATTTGCTCCCGCTCATTCACCTTTACCTGATCGAGCTGTTCCTGTGTGGCGAAGCCGGTTGAGATCCACTTCCGCACGCCTACCTGGTTAGTTGGAAACGTGTGACCTAGCGGGTGACTCACTGGCGACGCAGTAGGGACACAGCACATGTGCACGCTTTTGTCGACCGCAGGCTGAGCATCTATTCAGTGCAGTAGCGTCCTTGAGCGCCTTGCCAGCCATTTGCCTATGTCTCTTTTTCATATGGCTCGTCTTCTTCTTGGGCACGGCGTTGAGAAGGCCATTCCAGAGTTGACCAAGGAAACTGGGAATGGGAACAAGGGCAGGGGGAAGTAGAGAGATTCCCACTTGGTGTAGAAGCGGGATTCTTCTAAGAGCAATGGCGGCCATGGCCTGGACTCGAAATCGACATCGACGTCGGTGACATACAACCTTAGCGCGTAGTTAGCCCCACTTTAAATTTCCCCGTTTACCCTAAAACGCGCATCTCTCCACCTCCCATCCCACCAGCTTTGCAAACACCCTCTACATCACAATGGTTGAAGTTGTACAGCCCCGAGCATACGTTGGCTTTGACAGCATCACCACGCAGATCCAGCATAAGCTCGTTAAGCGCGGATTCCAGCTTAATGTCATGTGTGTGGGTGAGTGGAAGTGCTGCCTCGCGTTAGCTGCCTTGTGCTTACCAGGTACAGGGCCAACGGGACTCGGCAAGTCCACGCTGATCAACACGCTCTTTGCCTCGCAGCTTGCCAAGTCCCATGGACGCTTGGAAGCACAGGAGGCCATCCGCCAGACCACGGATATCAGCCTCACTAGCCACGTGATTGAAGAAAACGGAGTCACCCTCCGTCTGAACATTGTTGACACTCCAGGCTTCGGAGACCACGTCAACAATGACCGCTGCTGGGAGCCCATTACTAGGTATATCAAGGACCAGCACAGCACCTACCTCCGCAAGGAGCTCTCGGCCCATCGTGATCGTCACATCCCCGACACCCGCATCCATTGCTGCCTCTACTTCATCAGCCCTACTGGCCATAGCCTCAAGCCCATTGACATTGTCGTTCTCAAGAAGCTCTGCGAGACGGTCAATGTAGTCCCCGTTATTGCTAAATCGGATGGTTTGACCATCGAAGAGCGCCAGCTCTTCAAGGACCGCATCCGCGAGGAGTTTGCCTTTCACAACATTCGTCTCTACCCCTACGAGAGCGATGAATACAATAGTGAGGAAGTGGCCATGCACGCTCAGATCAAGGTAGGCACTTTCTTACAAAGTGTCCAAGCTAACGCGTCAGGCTATCCTCCCATTTGCTGTGGTCGGCTCTGAGAAGACTATGGAAGTCGATGGCCAGCTTGTCCGCGGCCGCAAGCACCGCTTCGGTATTGTAAACGTGGAAGACGAGAACCACTGCGAGTTTGTCTACCTGCGCGACTTTCTCATCCGCACCCACCTGCACGACCTGATCGAAACGACCTCTCACATCCACTACGAGTCGTACCGTTCTAAGCAACTTCATTCGCTCCGCGAGAACAACAGTGGAGGAAACCGTCCGATGTCTCCTGCCACTGATCGTGAGATGAGCCGCCACAGCCAGCACGGCGTCAACGGTTACTAAACAACACTCATTCTTGCGGACTCGGCGTTGGGCGTACTATACCCCTTCGGCAACTATGAGTTCTTTTACTGCTTGATAACCGATGCTTGCTTAGCGCTGGCTATTCTCACACCACCGCAAATAATGGAAATGGGGCACAAAATATGGAGTCGAGGCGCTGAGTGTGCCGAAGGGGTAGGAATTATGATAGTCTCCATGACATGGCATAGTGTCCTCCCTGTACTTTTACTTGAATTGCATGTTGATATTGTCACTTTCGGTTGTGTCAAAGTACTCGCGCCCTGTATATGCTAACAATTTATATCCTGGCGTGCCTCTTCATATCCTCAACGGTTTCTTCGAGGCTTTAAAAAAAAAAACAGAGCTGCGGCTTTTGAGGATCGAACTCAATACCTCCAGATCACGTGGTTCATTTAGAACCCGCTTTGAAACCAAAGTTTGGACTTCAGTCTGGCGCTCTCCCAAGTGAGCTAAAGCCGCTTATTGTTTGATAATTTGGGAATATAGGTATATATATCACTTTAATAGCCTGCGAGTACTGATGGACTTTTTGCGAGGACGCCACTATGAAGTCATCCCACGAAAACACCTACCTTGCTCACTTGAGTGTATCCATAAGAAAATCCAGGAGCTCATCCGAGAAGACGTTTACAGCACAATCGACGGAACCATCTACCAGGAAGACGTGCACGAAAATATTTCACGTATGCACAGCATTGGAGCTGCGAAGGCAGCACTATCATTAACGAGCGGAAAATATTTGCTTGTTTCCCGCAAAAAGACAAAATAAGGACTTGAGCGAGTGTTGGCCATATCGGCCGGACGAGCAGCGACGGCATCGTAAGAGTATCAACACACATCAGCGGTAGGTTATCGACGGCAAAGGATCCTTACGGGATGACACGAACGAAAGGAAATCATTTTGATTTGACCCGACCCGTTTGTATCCCGCCCACGGATGGTGATTTAACCCGGAAAACGACTGCATGGAAGCATGGTTCAAGGGAAGGACACGTCTGGTGTGTCTTGTGGTTCCATACCCTCCCGTGAAGCCCAGGCAGGCATGATGATAGACTCCTGCAGCGAAGTTTGTGGAAACACTCGCAAGAACAGATGCTCTTTCACTCTTTGAGACACAACAAAGTGATGTTTGGGGACAGAACATGGAGATTCTGCGGACAAACGCACATGACTGCCTAATTGGACCCTAACACAGACACTAACCTATGCTTGGCCAGAGGCAAAGCCTACAGCGTCCTGTAAACAGATGAGGAAAGAACAATTTGCACATCTCTTAGCTTCCATGAGTGGTGTACCTATAGTGCCCCCAGAATGATCCGTGAGGTCCCTTGAGAACAGCTGAGGAGCAAGTCCGCACATCCACTAGCCTCCAGCAATGGCCGGTCAATCAGTTCGACTGAAGCTCGACTTGGGTAGCTTGAAAGAGAGCGGACACTAGTGGATGTGCGTTTGTACTTTCGTTGAAGTTCACTGACCCAAAAGGTGCGTACGTGAATCTCGGTCATGGAATAGATGAGGCAGGAGCAAATGTACACATCCACACTTCCACTAGCTTCCATTAAAGGCCTGTCAATCAAGATTGATTGATGCTCGTCTGAGGTTGGTCGAGGAGAACGGACGCTTGTGGATGTGCAAGCTGCCTCTTGCCGGATCTGTTTTCACCGCGTTGTGGGCTTCTTCTTCTTGGCCAATGGAAAGTTTCCAGAATTTTCTACCTGAACTTCATAGGTCAGTATTGGCCGTACAATAGGCAAACATCGGATGAAAGCTAGTGGATATGCAGCGTACCTCAGCCACTTTTGGTTCCAAAAACGTGGAATTTTTTGCCTTACCGATCAGAGCTTTACACAATCTTCTGCCTGAACTTCACAGATCAGTTTAGAAGCGCAATATGCATTCTACCGACGGACGCTAATAGATGTAGGATTTACCACCTTCTGCATCTTTTCATAAGGCACTTTGTGTTTTTTGTTCTGGCAGATCAGTGGGTTTCCAGAATCTTCTGCCTGAGTATTACTGATAATTCTGGAAGCGCAATAGGCACAACAATTACGGACGCTAATGGATGCGCAAGTTGCCTCCTTCCGCTTCTGTCCCCAAATCACTGTGGGTTTTTAGTCTGGCCAGTGAGAGGTTTCCGGAATCATCTGTTTGTACTTCACGAATCAGTATTGGCCGTAAAATAGGCACACCACGGATGGAAGCTAGTGGATGTGCATTTAGCCTCCAGCCATCTCTGTTTCCGGGACACTGAGAATTTTCTTGCAGCCAATCAGAGGTTTTCGTCTGCTTGTGTTTGGGTCCCTTGGTCCCAACTTGAGTCATGCATGGGACGTGCGTTGGGACAACAAAAATTACAAGGCCAGCCGAGATCGGAAGGCAACTCTATCGCTCGTCTGCTGGATTGCCAGCAAGAGCGTATATGCTCAAAAAAGAGAGGCTGGAAGTTGAGTATGAGTGTGCCTACAAGGATCACAATGAAACAATGAAAAGTGATAAAGGGCACTTGAATTTGAAAAAGAAGTTTATCTTTTGATCTAACATATAAGCTTTTCCTTTAGTGAAAATCGCGAGGATGAGACCTCGCTGCCATCGTCACGCTTGACGAGGCAGGCGTCGCCATAGAGGCTGCAGAACTTGTCATTGTCGCCGAGGCGCTCACATACCTCACCGTCTCTGCTTGCGTTGTAGCAGCGCTGAGGCTCTGTATCAGGTCAGCAAGCTGCTTGTTGACCTTCAAGGCAGAAGTGTAAGCTGCACCGTCAAAGACGGTCACAGGTTCGCACGAAGCAGGCACAGGAGCTGGGTTGGGATTTGTACAAGCACCATCCTGCGTTGCACCAGCGGAGGGGGCATTGATTGTCTTGCTCCCGCTCATCATGACGATGGTTGGCGAAGTAGTGTAAGCTGTGCGGCTGCGGAAATTGCTCACCGCTGCTGTTTGCGGGTTCTTGTTGTGAATATGCGGTATATTACGCGCATTATTAGTAACCGTCGCTCGGCTCTCGACTTCACGCGTCAACTAGTTTTCCGTAGAGATTTGTATGCAGGTACACATCTGCTCACAATTATAATAGTTCTCCTGTGCAAGAGTGTGCGAGGATGCTGGCCGAGGAACAGAGTTCACAACGTTGAAGTCAGCACAGGTGGTGTAGTACTCATCCTTGCCACCCGGATAGGTGCAGTCAGCGTTCGGCTCCGTGGGCCACTGCCAGACCCAATAAACTGTCAACCTGCCCTCTGGCTGAGATGCGGGGATGTGGACGTTGCTCTCGCACCACTGCTCCAGGCTTGAGGTGGGCTGGCCCGGAACGTGGTTGGGATAGAGGACCTGGCGGGCGAGGGAGACGTTTCCGCAGTTGAGCTGATGGCACCTACCATCGTCGTAGGCCTGAGCGGCCATCAAAAAGCCACGGCCGTTGCCGCCTTTGCCGTCTTTAGTCCATCGAAGAACGTCGACCATCTTTTCAGATTCAGACGGCTGAGTGGTGCCATAGACGAAAACGGTGCCGCCGGCCTTTGGCTTGCCGAGCTGGTTCCAGGGCAGGGTGACGTGGCCGTTCTCCAGGTACTTCATGGCTACGTGGCTGCCTGGCTGGACCTGCAGCATTGGGTAGCTAGGGTTTGTGTAGTTGGAAGCACGCTGAGAGGGGTGGCAGAGGAGGTCCGATGAGTTGATCCGGATGCGGCCGGATTCATCAGATGGCACCTGGTAGTTCACTGAGAAGCCGTTAAAGGAGGGGTCGGTGCGTGCAACATACCCACGAGCAAAGCCGCGATCGCCGGTGTAGCTGCCGTTGGGGCCGATGACCTGGAACTCGTCGATCCAGGAATGACCAAGAGCTGGACCAGCCGAGCTTAGAAGACCAGAGACGAGGGTGAGAGTGTTGACGGTGCTGAACATGCTGTAAGTGTATGCAGATGATTGTGGATGCGATGAGATGCAATGCAATGCAAGTTGATGAGTGATATGAACAGAAGGATGGCGGACTTGAGGCTTATAAGGTGCAAAGCGAAACAGTGCTGCTAAACACTTCAACGAACACAATGCCATTGACATCTTACCATCGACAATGGCCACATTGTGGTATCTGCCCTTTTTCCCTAGACAGTAACGAGTCCTTTGTCCGTACATACAATGGCTTTGAGTTCTTCTGTACCTGGCTCCCACTTGCAGCAATGGAACAAAGAGCATTGTCACTATTGTTTCTCAGACACTCCGCATTCTGTAGACCAACTGAGCATGTGTGCGAATGAAACTGAAATTTCCTTATCGTGATCTGGTTGCCAACAGTAGGAAGAAGAAAAACATCTTACCACTGCCAGATATCTCCATGATGGCGAAGTAACAATTTTCATACTATCAACTGCCTTATAACAGGATATCGTACAACGCATTGAATCATTCACAACACAAACAACTTAGGGTGCGTTCGGCTGGCCTCTTTAATCTCTTTGACGCGTTTTAAATTTGAAAATACATCTAGTTCTGAAATTAAAAGCGGCGCGTTCGGTCTGTCACCTCTATAAATTCTCCAATTTGTTTTTAGATTTGAAGGTGATTGACCGCAGGTCTAGCCCCAAGGCTAGCGCGATTTCTCGCAGAGAGAACAAAACAGGTCCGACCATCTTTTATTTTTCCCCGCACTCTTTTCAGATCCCATTAAAAGCGCTTTAAGGCGCCCTTAAAAGATAGTTGAGGTGACATCACGTGACACCTCGCTGATGACACCTCGTCACATCTTCATAGATACCTCGATATATATGTACACACACCTTCACACACTATCCTAACCTTCTCACCTAGTATCCCCCTCAACTAAGATATACCTCAATCTTATATCCATGATGTAGGGAGAAAATTTCCTATCCTCTGGGAAACCAGTTCCTCCACGCGAGACCAGGAAGGTGATTCTTTCACGCTGTTCTTGCACTTCCCACTACCGACTCTGCTGGCTAAGATCTCATCGACCTCCCATTATTGTGGTTCATCGATATGGACGGTCAGTGAAACCTTCCCATTGGCAAGGAGGTCTAGCACTGCAATATCGCTGTCTTGGGATAGAACTCTGAACGGACTCAGGATAATCAACCTTTCCCGGTGGTCATGGAAGCAGCTCGAACATGTACTGGTTAACATACCAGAAATCCAGGCGAACAGCACAACGACAAATCATTTTGCAAATCCTCTTGTGATACATCCCTGTCAGCTTCTCACTACTAAAGGTCCGCCTCATGACAGATTCCGTTGTATGACAGCCTCGACGACCTTAAGGCCCGTTACGCACTCAATGTCATGCAATAGGACACCGATGGGTGTAAAGACGGTATGGCCGGTGGCAGTCCCACCAAACGCTAGGCCCATTTACTTGCCTGAAAGCGTGTGCAGGACAATGCTGCCAGAATCGCCGTTGTTTAAGAAAATCTTGCTAAGGACGCCATGAGGGGACGTCACCCCG